AATGATGCGAGGGATGCGATAGATACGGACACCCTTCGCTAGCTACGAGGGAAAAGGCAAAGATTTATGATGTTGGTGCGTCAGCTCGCATGTCTCAATTTTGGGACGCCATCGCGAGGAGAGTCAACGAGAATTGTGAGTTCGGTTCTCTCTCTCTCTCTCTCTCTCTCTCTCTCTCTCTCTCTCTCTCTCTCTTTCTCTTTTCCCTTTTGTTGCTCGTCATGCTGTGGACGCGCGATAAGGGGAAGGTATGGCTACCGATGGAACAAGGAAAAAAAAAAGGAGGAAAATAAAGAAGAGAAGAATCAGACACGAGATAGCGGCGAGTGGACTGCGAGCAGAAACGGAGCGCGGAATTAATCCGGCCGGTAGTTCTACTCCTTCTCCCTTTCGCCGTATACGCGCTTCCGTTTCCGTCCCAACCGTACTTCGCCGGAAAATAGTTCCTACCTCGGACTCGGAGAGTCCGACAATGGAATAATTATTGCAATTAGCGAGCTACCTACTCCGTGGATGCTTTTTCGTGCGCAGTTGTGCAAAAGGACCGGAGAAGGAAAAGGTGGTCGATACTCTTGTAGTTTGTACGCTTTGAAAATCGACAATTTCGCGGAGAGAGAGAGAGAGAGAGAGAGAGAGAGAGAGAGAGAGGAGAATAAATTGCATCGCTATCATAAAATGACTCTTAATGATGCTCGTAACTACATCATTTGCTCTACATAAACTTGCCGCAAGTCGCAAAGGGCTGAAGTTGCATTTATTGGTCGTAAATTCTCCTTCCCGCGAATTCGATGGTTTCACGGCGGTTGCAAGTTTCGGTTCTAAAACACAAGGATTTCCTTCTAGGAGCAGCTTTCTCGTTGTAAAGCAGCCATTCAAATGAGAGAAGGAGGTTTTCTTCTCTGCGTAAAATTTCACAGTATATATCGTTTACCAGTTAAACGATATTTCGCGATCTCGCGAAAATCATACAGTAATATTGATAAAAATCTGCTCTGTTCTACTTAATATAAAAATATTTTTATACATGAAATATTTTTATATCAATATTTACACACACACACACACACACACACACACACACACACATTAATTCATTACCATCAAATACCCGTAACGGCCGTAACGGCTATAAACACGCAGATTGTTCTGAAACGCAAGTATTTATTGTATAATGAAATACTAGCCGGAGAATAATAAAACAAAATAAATAAATACGTAGATATTTGCAGTACTTTTTTTACATCGCCCCTCCCTAACGGTACCGACATAATCTCACGTTTAACCGATGATGCACATGTGGAGTTATCATGACACGGGTACATAGCACGATTATCGTAACAGTTATTGCCAGAGCCTCGGCGAGTGCGACTTGATGAAAGCTACAATGAAGCAATCGCGCATCTGTCTTAATGACAGGAAGGAGTCTCGCGCACAAAGCTTCGATTTCACCGAGTCAACATGCGGACAGTCTCTTTCTTTCTTCCTTTCTTCTATTTATTAGCCGATTGACGACGATCATATACAATCATTTGGTTCACGCAGATGGAATGTCGACGAATGAGACAAGAACGCGAGAAGGAGCGCCTTCGTACTCTTTTCAAAGTGCACGATGACATTTGCTCGACATTCGACTGGAATAACGCAGATACTTAATCTGAAATCATTGTATTCCGGACAGCAAATTTTAGGGATGTCCTTCTCTGAGAAAAGAAGGGAGGACAATTTTTTTGCGATCATTCGTTTCATTTCGTTTTCTTATGTATCTTTCTTTGTGGAATCCAAAAATTATCTTTATAAGTATACTCACTACATTCAAGGAAAAATTGGTATATTGAAATAAAGTTATAAAAATCCTTATTCATTACGAAATTACTGTCAGTGTACACTGTTAAATTTATAATATCAAATTATAACCAATTTGAGTTATTTTTAATATCTACAGATCGAAATTATTATTCTTATGTACCTAATATATCATTACTTTAATTAAAACAATGGAAAATAATTTAACTCAAAAAAATGTATTAAATTAGACTTAAATTTAGTTTATTATTTACTAAGTGCATAATACGGACCATGTCTACTTTGAAACTATAACCACAGAAATAATTTACATTTTGATATAGATGGAAGTTAAAAACAGAATATTATTTAATTCATCAGATTAGATTACCATTGTTTCTTTAATATCGATTACCATTGTTTCTTTAATATCTAATCTATGCTTCAACCATTCAATCCAACTGAATTAGGTTTTAAATGATTGAAGCATATAACTGACAGAGATTTTCGTAATGATGTAAAAAAAAAAGAAAGGATTTTATTCTATATTTCAATGTATCAATTTTTTCTTACGTGCCATTATTATAATTTCCGATAAAGAAAAACGTAGAAAAAAAATGTAGAAATAAAACGATATTAGAATGATCGCGAAAAGGCAAAAGTATCCTCCTTTCTGGTTGAAGATAAACGAATCAGAAGAATCTAATGTCAATCAGAAATCTGATTATCTCAATTAGAACCATAATAGATTCAACTAGAAAATTCTGATTTGTCTGCTTTCAAGCAAAATTGCAATTAATCCAATTTGCAACTATTCTTTTTCTATAGTGTAGGAACATTCTGAGAACGTAGAACATCTGAATTTTCTTAGGACAATCTTTTGAAGATCTATATAAGATACTATATAAGATGAGATCCAGAAACGACAGAAACCACCGTGATTTTTCTTGTGAATTTTCTTCCTCATTTTTATTATTACATTCGCACGTTTCGTAGCTCGCGAGGTGACTCTGTTCGCGGGTTCTTCCAACGGTGCGGCTTTTGCGTTTTGCCCTTTTGCTACTTTGTTCTGTCATGAATAAGAGTCGGGAGTGAAGTCGCGGCAAGCAAGCCGTGGAGCATAAAGCGGGTGTTTGTAGAGAGAATCGTTTGGTTAGAATAGAGTTTCAAACAGAAGACATGATAGAAAAGCAGCGCAACGCGCTTTTCGCAAAACGATATCAGACGCGACGTCGAGTGGGCAAAATGGAATTACGAATCTACCATAGTAATAAAAATGTAAATGCACAATATACAATATCAAGAGATTGGAGTATTTTTTTTTACAGTCAGCTAATTTCAATGTTCACAGCACAATTTGATAATAAAGTATTCTTTCTGTATTCTAACTTGATTTAGAATACGCAATATGTAATTTCCTGACTGTTTAAAAACTTTTTCCTCGTTGGAATCAAAGAAGATAAGAAAATGCAAGCGTACCTAATCTAAAGAATCTCGTAAATCTTAATTCGTTAACCGTAAAAAAGTTCGGTTGTATTTTTGTTAGTATAATGAAGAGATCGGATATAGTATCGTGTGACTGAAGAAAGCGTAACATTTACAAGTCCTGATTACACTTTTCTTCGTTCGCTTCAATAAACCGAGAGCTTACACAAGGTATCCTTTTTTAAAGGATTTGCTAGAAAACCGATTTATAATGATTGCAAAAATTCTTCACTCTACTTTCTTTACACAAACATTTGTAAGATCTGCGATACGTTGGAAACAAGAATTCTTTCCAACATAATTGGATTCGCCGGAAACAAACATGGAGTTTGTTTTGTGGATTACTTCCGCAATTAGGAGTTGCTGTAAATCCTTCGATTAGCACTTTACTGAGATGTCAATTCGCATAATATCAAATGTTTTCATGTATCATTGAATGAAGAAATTATGATAATTTATTGCGATTTTTTGAGTTCGGATCGCATATCGAATATTCATTTTCATGAAAAATAGCACTATTTAAAAATTCCACATTTCTAGTAAATATATCAAAATTAATTATCTTTCAATCATTTTTAATCGAATAATACATAAAATTTTAGACGCCGTTAATTAATTTTATTAGAAAATAGCCTATAATTTTGAAATTACATATTTACAATATACTTCACATTATGGCAATTGAAAGAAATATAATTTGTAATTTTTAAGAAATAAAACAAATCTGTAAAGATGTGTAAAATATTAATTATGCATTTCTCATATCCTCGTATATTAATATATTATTGTAATGATTTTTATATTATATTACGTACTGAAATATTATTATAAAAACATCCATAATTATGCTAATTATTCACTTATAGAAAAAAAACAGTGATAGCAACTATAAATATGACAACTTAACATACATTGATTTTTATCACTTTCACAAGCATATAAAAATTATTAAATGATTCTTACATGTATTTTAACATCTTTAAAATATTTTATAAATCATTTAAAAATTAATTATAAATAATTGTAATTACTATAAATTAATTTATATTTATTTATAATTATTTTTTATAAATATTTTAACTTTAAATACACAATCTTTTAATA